CCAAGGCTGGGATTTACAAGATCTCGCAACTTAGGTTTTGTCAACTTGAAACACTTATGTGAGACCACAATGCAAAGCAGCTGGCCTCACCTTCTGGAAGACGAAACACCATGTGGAGCAGAACCGAGCTGCTACAGCCAACAGACACTGCCAGCTCTGAGGGAGCCCAGCGGGAACTTCCCCGCTCAGCCATCCCTCCTCCTGATGGCAGGGCATGAAGAAGCCCACGTGACACCTGAACCAGCCCACCCGGCCAACTCGGAGAACCAGGGACTTCACAAGGCACATGTGCAGAAGTTTCTCAGGCTGACACTCTTGAACATAGAAGGTAATATCCTGAAATGCGAGGGTACTGGGGTTGGAATTTTTCCAGTCATTAACTAGGAACTATCTAAAACACTTGCACTGTGGAAAGGCATGAAGGCTGTTTGTTTGTTTGTTTAGTACCAGGGATCGAACTCAGAACCTTGTACTTACGCTGAAGACTGTTTTAAGTGATTAAATTGGTGTTCTGAAATTCTAGAGGACAAAGTTGCATCTCTTAATGATTGAAATATGCCAAGTTTATTCAGTATCATAAAAGGAGTTTGGGCTGAGAATGCCAATTGCCTGCCTAGTCCACTCTTTCCCCCACTCTTAGTAAAAAAACAAAAACAAAAAAACTTCCAAGATGTCCTGACCATACACCTATCCAGAATGAAAGCTAGATTTGCCCACCTACTGGACAGAGAATTATGACCACAACACTAAGTGCAGGGCATTAAAATACAGCAAATGCATCACAGGGAGCTTATTCTGGCCCTCTTCTCATGGTCCTTTCAGCCACGTCCATCCTGGCGCACAAAGCCCAGCTCACACTCGGCCGCCGCCTTGAGTGAGGAAGAGAATGGCTCCACATCAGACACTGGAGCTCAAAGACGCCCGACTCCCACGGCGCGAGCAGGCCGAGCCTCCCACCTCTGCGTGATTCTTATGTCAAATAATTTTAACTGTTACCTTGATGAAGCTAGCATCATTTGGGAGTTCTGTCACTCTCATCTCTGCTGATACACAGGAAATTGCAGTAAGAAAGGTACAGGGAAAGAAAGATCAGAGGACTCATTGTCTGCTTGGGTATAAGAGGTAGAGATTATGTTAAAAAACTCAAAAAATAGTTCTGAGCCTGGATGATGGAAGTTGTTACACCACTTTTCCTCCTTTATATATTTAGTTCCCACCCCTAACCAACACAAGGGGGGGATTAGAATTATGGAAATTGGTGCGGTCCTGTCTTTTCACTCTGTGTCCCAATACAAGTACCACGTCAGAATAGTGGACCATTCCACCAGCAAAAATGAGATTCTCAGTAGACATAGTATGGCCATAAGGAGAGATGGGTCACCATTAAAATTTCAGTTCTTGTACTTAATAGAGTTGCTTTGATCCCAGAAGCACTGCAAACCTTTATAATTTAATCAGAAAAAAGGTGTCATTTGCAAAAGACTTGATCTTAGCCAAAAGGCCGAGAAGCAACGTGATAGAAAGATATGGTGTCCACGATGTCAGTAAAAAAGAAAAGGACCTTGACTTCACAGTGCTCCCATTCTGGCAGGAGAGGCCAACAAAGAACAATAAACATGATCAGTAATAAACGGTGTGCTACATTGGACAATGACACATCCTCTGTCCAAAGAGGAAAAGCAGAGCTGATCAGGCAGACCGAGGTGTCATCAGCTGGGGTGCAGAGGGGAGCAGTCTCCATTTGGCAAGGCCCAGCCTTCACTAAGGGGTAGAATAGATGAAGTATATAGAAATGACTTGGGATGGGAGTTTGTGAACCCCCAGAGAAGAAGCGCATTTACTCCAGGTTACTCTTCAGGAATACTCACTAGTGTACTCGATCCCTTTGCTTCAGTGAGTTTGCCTGAGCAGTTTGTGGGTGAGAGCTGCCCACTTCTCAGATTAGAAAAGTAAGGAGCCCAACAGAATTAACATCACCCAGGGTACTGTTTGATAATTTACTGATAATGACAATTTAATATAGCACGTGGTGATTGAGCTGTTCCCACTTGCTAAGAACTGTCCGAGTTGCTGAATAGAGATTACTAAGCTAAAGGGATTCCTGCAGAAGCACTTTTAAAAAAAAAATCAGAATTATGCTCCGACTCACATGAGGCATGTAGCTGACTGGATGTGGGGGGTGTACACGCACCAGCCTTGTAGATATTAGGGTACTCTGCAAGCTCTGGGCTCTTAAAAGATTTGGGTAAATATTTAGATGTTGACTGGTTAACTTGACATTAACCAAAACCTTCTTGAATATGCTATTGGGGTGGGGAATAGTTTGGAGAATAAATTTATTGGCTGCTGTTTAAGTGAAAAGAATTACAATGCACTATAATGTTCATTCTAATCAAGTGATGTTTGAAAATTGAATTTCAGACTCTCAATGTGGTACACACATTTGTGTCTGAACGAGACTGTGCATCCCAGCTGTGGAAACATTTGGGAAGGTGAGAATTTTGTAGACTAATAGATTCCTGTGGCATGGACTAAGCTCAATGCAGCAAAAGATGTTTTCACCAAACAGACAGATCTTCTCATCCTTCACACATACACACCATTCTGGGTGTTCTTCAGCGACACTTAATTCTTCCAAAAGGTTCTGTGGCAGTAGACAAGATGTATCTGCTAGGGAAAAGCCATTTCTCCTTCTGAAACACAGGAGGTAATTTGGGAAAGTAGAAGTTTGGACAATTCTCAAGATACCAACCAAAAGTACATCAAATATTTTTGGGCAATTATTTAAGTGTACTGAAATATTATTTTTATTTGTGACAAGGGTAAACAAGAATACAGAAATGAGTTCAGTAACAAAGTGCTCCCTTATTCCTTTAGAAATTTTTATGATAAATGTAAATCATTCCAAAATTTTAAATAACTTGTCAGAAAGCCAAAATAATGAGTAACTGCTAGAATTAGGATTTGAGCCTAGAACATCTGCCTCTAAAAGCAGTGTTTGGCCAGTGTCCTTACACACCACACACACACACACACACACACACACACACACACACACACACACACACGCTATTTGGTTGACCAGGTTAGTATTCTAAGTCTGTGGCAGTGGATATGTTTTGGATAGGCAGCCTCTATCTCTTTCTTCTTTTGATAATAGGGCCTGTATTCTCTTAGATATAACACTCTCTCGCATTTTATTCAGGGAGTATAGACCAGCTTCTACTCCAGTGTTGGGTACAGGTCAGCTTCTGTTTTGATCAGACAATTTCATTCCCTTGGCTACAGAGACTGGCTTATGGTGGTCCCTGTAAAGTAACCTAAATTAGACCACTGGGATGACTGAGGGTCCTTGAGGAGAAAGGCCCTTCTCACACACAAGCATGAACTCAGAAGGACAAATACAGCCACCCCAACACTGTATGAAGTCTGAGAATGAAGCCAGAGCTGATAAAGATCAGAAGAGGATCAGAGATGGATCCAAGGTGGGTAAGATTTGAGTCCCTGAACACAGTCACAACCAAAGCCAGCCCTACCCCTACCCTGCACATTGATGCAAACCCATAAACCATCTTTTATGTTAGTCAATCTGGACTCCTTTTTCTATTGCTTCCAACAAGAGTCCCAAAGGATATCATGCTCCTTTCCAGGGAAAGCAGAACAGGAGTCAGACAGACCTGATTCCGTGAGCAAAGCAAGGCTGAAAATCTTAACCAGGGGCATAGGGCAAAAAATGAAATTCCAGGGCTGGGGATTTAGCTCAATGGTTCTGCTGCCTGCCTTGCAAGCACAAGGACCCAAGTTCGATCCCCAGCACCAAAAGAAAAAAAAAAAAAAAGAAAGAAAGAAAAAGAAAGAAAGAAAGAAAGAAAGAAAGAAAGAAAGAAAGAAAGAAAGAAAGAAAGAAAATGAAATTCCAGGGGCCAGGGAGAAAGATGTGCTAAATTACTCCTGAGCTTAGGCTCTTCATTATATGCAAGGGCCAGGGCTCACTCCTCTCTCTCTTCGCAGCCTCTAGCTTCAGGCTCCTGGAACTCAGGAAATAAAACAGGGACATCAAATATCCTTATGGATGAAATAAAAGGCATACTGAAGAGGAAGAGGCAGGGTGAGGGATGCAGCTGTTGAAGAGTACTTGCCAAGCAAGCACAGGTTCCGTCCCCAGTGTCACAAAAAGAAAAAAAAAGGAGGGAAGAGGAAGGGGTACTCGGCTTGGTTCTCTCTCTCTCTCTCTCTCTCTCTCTCCTCTCTCTCTCTCTCTCTCTCACACACACACACACACACACACACACACACATACACACGCACGCACACACACCATCTCCAAATCCAGAAACCCCGAGTCTATGACAAGGAGACTCAAAGAAATCAGCCACACCTTTCCTATTTCTCTCTTCTAACTCCAAACGGTGTAGAGAAAAAGACCCCAGCATGGAATTGGTTATAATATAATCCAGGCTAAATGGGGAAATTGCAAAGCTGAGGCCAAAAGAGATAGCATATCCTTAACTTAATCTCATTGAGTCTCCATAAAACAAAGTAAAAAGGAAAAGACAAAGACAAACCATCCTGGGAGAACTATCACCTAAGCAAACCCTTAGGAAGGCTTGGTCTGTCTTTCGTCAGTGCAGGCCCAGGCTGCCAGCCCTGTCAGTGGACTTTTGTTGAGAACTTTCATTGGCTACATAAACAAAGCCTATCTTTTCACAGCAACAAGCACACACACACACACACACACACACACGCATGCATGTGCGCGCGTGCACACACACACACACACACACACACACACACACACACACAGCATAGTAATGCTCTCCGACTTTCCTATTCCTCTGTCCCAGACAGAGATGGAAAGGTTCTAAAGACTGAAGAACTTAAAGGGGAAACGCTGCATTTTCTAACTTGAAAATATCAGTTCCTATTCTCCTGCTGTTAGTGTCTGAGACTTTAAGAAGGCAAGCAAACAAAAGCTGAAAGAGCCAGGACAGCTGCCTTGCAAGGGTTAAAAGGAGATCAAAATCAAATGGCGCACTTCCCCGTGTCTTCTGCATGACTGATAGTGGAATCGATCTGCAGCGGTTCATTTTCTCTCTGGAATCTCTGCCTACTGAGAACAAACACAAACACATGTGGAACCAATGGGAAGCAGACTAAGGGCTTTAAGAGTTCCGCACCAACCTGTGTCGGAGAGCTCTCACTTAGCAGATGGGCAATTAATAAAAGGGTCCAACGGCATGGCTGTGTCAAGGTGCCTTTAGGAGCTAACAATCCTCTTTTGTCTCCCCACTGTTGAGTACAGATGGATCGCAACTCAGAATAAGCGCTTCATTGTGCCAGGGTGCACTCTCACAGAGTCCCAGCACCAACAGAGGGCCAGGTGTCCCGCGTCTCCCACATTCAAGACAAACATGATACTGATTCTTTCCCCCTGCTAGCATGTTAAGTGCTGACGTGACCGCTAATCTGGGAAAATTAAACTTTATAAGTGAAGCAGCCTTTCATAAATATCTAAAAAGGAAGGACTTGCCACCAGAGTATCACTGCCCATTGACTCTAATCACAAACATGTATCTTGCCTTTCGGCTGACAGCTTGGCTTTATTAAAGTCACTCAGAGCTGAGCTGCCAGCAGGTGCTACTTTATTTTTTTAATGTGCAGAAAATGAAGGGTCCCAAGTGGATGCAGGAAGCCACGTGGTTATTTTCACCAGTAGAGACTCTGCATTTTGCCGAATTTCCATCTCCCCTGCCCCCCGCCACTCACCCCCACCCTTACTCATTGGTCCTCCCAGCCACTGCAGTCCGTCAGGAACCACTTCTTTCCTCTCTGAGCCAGACTGGGGTGGAAATGCGTCTCTCACTTCTAATACATCTGCAGGAAAAGAACATGTGCTATACTGACCAAACTAGGCCCCGACGTAGAATACCAGTTTATATGGCCGAGCCCTGGTGCTTCTTGTCTCGTGCATATCAAAATATCATGAGGACAGGCCAGGGACTTAGCTCACTGGTGCTGCCACCTGCCTCACAAGTGCAAGGTCCTGAGTTCCATAACTGGAACCAAAACAACAACACCACAAACATCACAAGGATAGCAACATGTTAGATGTCCTAGTGGACTTTCACAATCTGAGTCAGACCAGGAGGCCATCAGAGGTCCTGAGACTTTCTCCTGGAATTTCCCCTTCACCCTCTGTTCAGTGCAACCAGCATCTGACCAGGCAAACAAAGGAAGCTCCTCCACCCCTGACACAGTCTAGCCAAGGCCGCAGAACACCCCGGCCAGTTGGTGTTGCTGCGGTTGTCACGCTGAGGAGGAATTTCCCTCCGTGGGCTGAGGGTCAGCCCAGCATTCACTTTGCTAAAATAAAAATAAAACTTCATGAAGTACAGCTGACATTTCTTGAGCTTTAACGCTAGCTGGCTCTGAACTTCACTTTTAAGAACTTTTCAAGTCGAATGAAGTTATGAAACTGAAGAAAAAGTTTTAAGTTATTTTGTCAAGCATCCCAGACTAGATATGAATGCCAAAGAGACCAAGCGACTCGGGGAAAGTTAAAAGTGTGAAGGCGAACTAGGGTCAGCTCCTTCCCGCTCTGCCCCTCCAGGACTAGGCCGCCCTCGCTCCTCATCATTATGAGGTCTGCCCCCACATCCGGGGAATGGGGAGAACGAAAATGCTCAGGAACTCTTCTTTCAAACGAGAGCCGAGAGCAGCTCATCCATAGTCTCCTAACAGGGCAACTTCATCTTTCCCTTGGGTCCTCCCTCCTCACGAGGACAAAGTGGGGAACACTGACTACTTTCAGACTACAGATCCCATCTGTTATAAAAGATACAAAGGGGGAAGAAAAGGGTGCTCCCACAGGAGGAACTGCTGGGCCAATCCCACAACACACTCCTCCCTGGCAAACTGCTCACCACCCAATCCTACAATTTCCAGGCATCTTCACATTTGAACCCTTTACTTTAACACTGTTTGTGAAATAATCCCTGCGTTCCACTCTGCTTCTTACCTTATGCGGGAAGGGTTGTCCATCTAAATACGTTCTTCTATGACGACAGAGCTAAGAGCGTCACGGTGTACGCAGGGTCTCCCAGAGACACACCGAGGGCTCCATCCCCAGGGTAGCAGTGCTCGAAGCACGGCCTAGAGAAGTGGTGTTATCTCGAGGCATTAACTTCATCCGCGGATTATTTCATTCTCCAGCTCACAGGGCGGTGGGGCATCAGGAGGCGAGGCCAGGGGAGGAAGCGGGTCATTGGGGAGATGCCTCCCAGGCTATTTCTGGTTGCTTCTTCTCTGCTCTTTCTCTAACTCCACCTCTTGGCAGCCATTGGATGAAAAGCCTTCCTCTCTCCTGTCCTTCTGCCATGTTTCTGCCTGAGAGCTCGCTGACTGCGACTGGAGACCTGAAACTGAACCAAAACGAACCTTTGCTCCTTTAACTTGTGCTGTCCCAACAGTGGAAAGGTAACTGACAGCGGGATATGAAATAGGGAGTATATTTCCCAGCGTCCTCTGCAGCTGGGCCTGTCTTCTCTCAGCACAAATCGAAATGCTAAGGCCTTCCTACTAAGGGTTTTAAATCAATAAAATATGCTCCGTGCTTTTACCCAAAGCATGGGGTTGAACATCATGGGAAAACAGCTTCCACCAATCCAATGAGGTAACGCTGAAGGGAGGAATGCAGCAGCGACATCACAGGAAACGGAGTCCTGGGCCCAGGACAGAGGTGTGTCCCAGCCTAACCCTCCGTTTTTGTTTCCTGTTCTGTATCTCATTTAGGCGTCTCAGATGTGGCCTTCACCCCACATACCACACACTCCAGAGGCTGGGCTCTCTAGGAACTGGTCTCTGAGATGCACACATGCATCAGGTGTACTGGAGCACAACCCCTGTCTCATGATGGATAAGAGCAACAGAAATGGGCAGAACCACGCAGAGGTGAGAGAAGCCACAAACAGTCCTGGAGGAGACGCTGGCTTTGGAATGTCCGAGCTGTCACACGTTCAGGTTGCCCTTGGAGAGGAGATAGGAACGCGAGTGGCTGAGGGATGGACCTGACACACCGGAGCACCACCGGCCCGGCCTGTCCAGCAGGGGCATGAGCACTTCCGCCCCAGAGGGGTCGGCGCCCACCGCAGCAGCGTCCTTCCGCTCCCCAGACCACTGCTTCAGCTAACACATTCTTGAGGCCTCAAGCCGTGGGCCTGGTTGGTCGCTTTCCTTGAAGAAGCTTGTGAAAGAAAGTGAATACATTTTAGGCCCACCACGCGGCAGGTCTCAATGTGGAAATCCATTCTCCTCATCCTCTTTCTGTTGCCTTCTCTAGATTCCTCTTGCTCTCGGCCAGCTTCTCGGCTCACCTCGGTATCTGTACTGAATGTGATGACTAATAACTTCAGAAGGCTCAGCCCACCCCCCATCTCCAGGATCCTCTCAGACTCAGGCTGTTGGGAGGGGAGAATCAAGAGACCCTTCCTCAGCCACCTGCCAGCTGCATCTCCTGCTCTCTGCGCTCCCAAGAATCCCTCTACCCAGGGGGATGACTAACCTGCCTACAGGTGTCTGGGTACAAGTAACCAGAAGTGGCCAGGAGCAGAGGCACATGCCTGTAATCCCAGCATTCCAGGAGGCCAAACTAGGAGGGTTACAAGTTCAAATCCAGGCTGGCCAACTTAGTATGACCCTACCTCAAAATAGAATTTTCAAAGGACTGGAGGCTATAGTTTGGTTTCAGAGCTCTTGCCAACATTCAGTAGGCCCCCCAGATGTAATCTCCACAAACAAAGGGAGCAGAGACTGACGGATTCCTCTGGCGGACCGATCCTTCATAGATACCAAGAGTTCTTTACACACTGATCCCACAGTTGTGCATAGAGAAAGTAAAAATTCCTCATGCAGGTCTCTGGGAAGGACAATAAGAGAATGCACTTCTACTCTAGTCCTGGACTAATACATTATTTCTGTTTAATCAACACTGATGACAGAGCAGACACCACATCCTGCAGGATGCCGTGCCATCACCATGTGCCTGTCCGTAGGTCTATCAGGTGAGCAGTCCCACATGCGGTGATAGGATGAGTGGATCCCCTAATCCTACTCCCACTGCTTCACTCCCTTTGCTGAAAAATGTCTCTTAATATAATATAGAATTCTTTGTCAGTTTTTCACTCTCTAATAATGGCAAAGACCTTGCCTAAATCAAAAATTGTAACCACATATACAGTGATTCCTGTCGGGTTGAACGGTGCTTCTTCCAAAGCAGAAGGATCCCAATGTAATCACTTGCCACTGCATAGTGACCAATCTCCTCGAAGAACTGTACAGTCTGCGCAGCTGAGCACTGATCTGTGCTGCTGACACATGCGTCTGTTGTGCGACCCAGGGTGGCTGGTGTGAAAAGCTGGCTGATATCAACTCACAAAGACTATTTTATTGACTATTGCTTTTCCTCGATGGATGCTTTTAGTAATGTATGAGTGTCTTTTATGCTCATTCCCATAGGTCTGTAATACACTCTAATTCCAAATCACTCTGTACCTCCCTACTTCTTCCTCTAGGTCTCTGATCCACCAACAAAGGCACTCACCACTTCCCTCAAGCAGGTTGGCCAGGTAAACCCCAGGAGCTCTGCTCATTGAAAGGAACAGTTCCCCCCGGACCAGGACGGCAGTGCAGCTGTGTCTACTTTTGACTTGCACCCACGCACTGAGCTGACCCATGAATGAACCGAGATTAATCGTTCTCTCCTCTTTCAGTTTCTGTTGGAGATTTGGCATTTCTTTTAAGGCTCTGGGTCCAAAAATGATCTCAAGTCTATAGAGAGTAGGCTGGAGGCTGACTGTTCAACCTTTCGATCACCTACCTTTTACTTTCAGCTGTGTGGCTTGAGAGGCGCTCTTGCCCTGTCTGTTTTGCCCCCAGGGACACTCTCTCCCATTCTCCATCTTCCTGGTTCCCCAGCTGAACTTGCACCCAACCTTTCCATTCATTATACATACCATCTCTGCTTCTGATAGTCAGCTGTCACCACCTGGCCTCTATCTCTTGGAATTCTGTCATCCTCATTGTTGTCAGTCAACCCAGTTTTCTAACTGCATTTCCTGCCACCAGCTATAACTGAGTTTTACAGTAATGCTGGAGCCTGCCTCGCCAGCATAATCCTGACCACTTAGGTAGATGACGTGACCACCAGGCCCTCCGGCTGAACTCAGGCATTTGCCGGATTTTGCAGCCTTCTAGAGTAGTTCCCCTTGAGCACACTGACTTCTCAGAGCTTGCTGATCCCTTTTCAGCATCTGCCTGGGCATATCAGCTATGAAGGGTATGAGAAGCAAAAAGAACGGAGCACGCTGAACTGTGGAAGTTGAGCCAGAGGCATCAGAAGATCATACCAGAAGCTCTTGGAATGCTCGATCAGAGTTGTCTGCCCTAAAATCAGGGGTCTAGGTTTCACACCTCTGCATCTTGGCTGCATTACCCGGGGGAGGGAATATGTGCTTGGGCCAGGAGCTCTGTTTGGTTGGAGGAATTTGCAAAGGAAGTTCAGCTGAGCTCTGACAGCCATCGATACTCCCAGTACCTGGAAGGATCAGTGCTTCATCCTGAAAAGAGAAGTCGATATCCTACAGCATCCACACTACACCAATACCCACTGGACTGTGCACCGAGCTGATCTTCAGTGTCATCTCAGGATCATTATCTATTCACTCTGTGCATAGTTGCTTTCCCATCTCAGCTCTTCTGCGTATAGCTAACTCCCGTTCATTTTTAAAATAGCTTAGAGTTTCTTTTCTGTCTTCCCTGACCTCCATTAATCTCTGACTCCCTTTACCTTTTTGTTACCCCAGTAAATTTCATCATCATCTTAACCTATTATATTGGAATAATTATTTAAAGCCACATTAAATAGTAAACTCCATGAGGGAAGGGATGAGGTCTTATTCTCCTTTACTGCCTGATGTTGACATGTTGCCTGGCATATGATAGGCAGTCATCCAATGTGATTTATTAAATGTGTGAGTGAGTAAATGAATGAGTGAATAAATTAATGAATGTTCACATACGCTCTCATTTTATTTCCAAAAAGAATTTGAGCCAGCCAATTTCCCAAAAGGGAAAAAAAAAAAAAAAAAAAAAAAAAAAA